GCATGTTAGGAACTGTCTGTTATTCATTCATTGAGCTGAGTATTTGCATGCTACTGAAATCAACCAGGAGTGTTTGCTAGCTGGGTTGAATTGATCGCCAATTTCGGCTAGAAATCTAGTGGCATGAGTTGATGAGCTCAGCCCTAAACGACTGAAATGGCTCCCATTGGCTAGCAAAGACTGCTGGTTGGCATGCAACTACTCATCTTAATCGATCGGTAGTATATAGTTTTACGCATTTATGCTTGTTTTCTTAATTACCATCCATCGTACCAAGCAGATCACATATTGTGATCCGAATAATTTGGGTCTCCAGGGGGAAACTGCAGTGAAATTTTACCTCGACGTGTGCACTGCGAATTGCGAATTTGATGTACCAAAAATATTTAGATCATAAAATTTTAGGCTGTCGGTGGAAACTGCTATTAAGTTTCATTTCGAAAGAATAATTGACTGCATTCTTATTTATTAGTTTTGCTTTCAGTGATGATAAATAAGATTTTAATATAAAATTTTTAACTATTTGGAGGAGGTACTGAGGTTTCCTGCTGATTCCCTTAATCAATCTATTCTGCCTTGTCAAGGTAACGCTCACTGATTTTAGTAGCAGTGTGATTCAAGTCAATCGTTTCATTATCAAGGGATTAGAATGTATAATATTGTAAGAGATGATAGTCTGAATAACTCAGTCTATAGAAGTAATTTTAAAATTAAACAAAGCTAAGAAATACTCAACAAGATTTCAATTAAAAATTTTGAATTCACACTGCTGAATACTATAAACTCTTAAGACTAAGAAGATATTTTTCTCTAATATAAGCAATCATATGCAAAAGTAAAGCAATTTTAGACAGTCGTTTTGAGTTCTGGCAGTTTTAGTTATCATACTCAAGAGAGTTTATACCAGTTAATCTAGTATATGTGCAATTGCATAGACTTGTCTGAGTGGGGAAGAAGTTTGATTTTTATAACAGATACGATGATTGGTTAGTTGTTGTTAATTCTACATGAATAATCCCAGATAGTGAGGCCCAGTACTACTCATTATTTTATAAGTAGTTCGCACGAATATACTTTACCACTGAATTCTGTCAGTATACCCCACAATTAAATGCTTCTTTCACATCAGAATTTTCTAATTTTAATCCCTTCAAAGGTGTAAATCATCTACTACGTTGCGCATATATTATTTCATGAATTATTAGCCATTAGGAAACCAAGATTCAGACAATCCAAATATATTCATTCACACATATCAAATCTTTCTGTTAACAGTCAAACACTTCACCTACCCAATCATCCTTTGTTCGAATGGTTTATTGATTTCAGGGTATACTCTGTCATGAATGGACATCGGTTATGGTACCATTAAAAACCAAGCAGTAAATAACAGAGATTTCATTCTAGTCTGAGACTTGGTAGGAGGGTATCATCGTGATACAAAATGTTTTAGTTAATCTAATACTCTTTAGAGTTTTTCTGGAGACTGAGGGAGAAGACAGAACGAGTAATGCTCTTTAGGTCAAATGTGAGAATATTTAGTCACCTATTCAGTTAAATGTTGGTTTCATTATATGGAGAACTGACAGAAGCGAAGACTTATAAGCCGTCGGAATCTGGCTCACTGGTTGATGAATAATTTTCTCCGCTGGTAATATGAGAAATGTGTACTTGGCAGTTAGCTGGGTGAAGGTAGCTCACTCCCGAAAAATCCCCAACTAATATGAGACAACTAACCAGTGTTCCATTGATTTTCAGTAAATTTCAATCTGACGTCAATTCTTAATGAAATATACACTGGATTCACCTCATTAATTATTGTGAAATTTATTTCAAGTATCGGTTTGTAGAGGTTTTGATTGATTGGTTGGAGGATATCATCATGAACTGATATTGGTTAGAGAACCACTGAAAAACCTGGGAGTACTGGATACCTGTTTCGTCCTAATTTGGGACCTTTCATCAGTACGCACCCAGAGGGTTTCGATTCGAGGACCTGCTGGTTACAAGGCGAGCTTATCCTCTGAGATTTGTAGGGCATTTTTGTTTTTTGCACCTTAGTGAAATATGCACTATTAGTTGTGGCGACTGTATGAAACAAAACGGTTTTAACTAAATAGCGAAAAATTACGATTCTTCAACAGCAACAAAAAACAAGACAAATAAAAATATTCCACCATATGTCCAGAAATTTTTCTGCATAAACATAAAATGAAACTGTCAACAAAACACCTGACAGAGGAAAATGGAATGCTGTTAAACTGTTGAAAATTAAAAATATTTGGGTTTTTTTTTACAAAAATAGCACGTTTCTGTCTCTCGTTCTCGCTAAATGTAAAAGACAAAGATTTGAAACAATTTGCTTCCAATGAAACGAAAGAGACTTAAACAATCTGCTGATTAAAATTCAGTAGAATGCACTCCATTTTTTACAATTATAAAAGCTGAAGAAATTTGTTTTCCTTCAAACTGTCTTATTGTGTACCTAGAAAAAGAAACCAGTGCCTAATTGGTATCCGAGGCGAAAGTCATACTGTAGAAATACATTCACATGTGACAGGTTCCTGTAGACTAAAGTTACCCTTAGCAGTATGTATTCATTTTCTTTTAGAAAACTAAGAAGGATTGAAGAGGTATTTCAGCTTTTTTTCTAGGTCATCAATGGCTTACCCTTTTAAGTATTCAGCTGATCATTCTCGTTATTTTATTGCCACCGCGACTGCACAGAAAATCAGCTTCATAACCGATTAGGAAAAGAAGAAGAGGATCTCGTATGGGAAAGAGGTTAAAGCTTACAGAAAATCGTGAAGACAGCTGGAAAAGACTTCACAGAACAAGATAAAATGAAGATGTGCTATTGGGACCGTATATTCCACTCGGGACCTGAAGTGAATAATGACAGTATAATAATATTTTCACGGTCATACTTGTTCTACTTATTCATTATAATTTCTCTTTTGATACTATATGAACTGTTACAACTTTAAAAGAGTTATGTGAAAAAAATGTTAAGTAAGAGAATCAATAAACTCATTCCACATTTATGCTGCTTTCATTGTAAAGATATTGAAATCCTCTGTTACCTCTGAGGTATGCAAGATTGCAGACACAGTTGTATAAGTTACGTTGCACTTCCTACTGATTAATTCAGTTTGAAGCTTCGACGATGTTTGAAGATTAGCGTAAACTTATTCGACTGACTGTGGCTAGCAGAAGAATCCAGAATGTCCATTTATCCTATCTGGGATTTCTAAGTTGCATTGACCACCATTCCTAGTGAGTTATACCATTCTCACTCAGACTCAAGCGCACCAGCAACCATCACTTCAAACCCTACCCCACTAGGTCAATGAAGTCCAAGATAGAAAACCATCACTCATTGAGGATGTGGGTATATTTTTTTATTTTTGATTACAGCTTGATTCTGCACTGTATTTTCTGGTACAGGTATGGAATTTTCAGCATGTGATATCGTTAGCTCAAATTTTGCAGGCCCACCATAGATATCAGGTGTACGTCAGCAGGGGATCGAACCACGGACCATATGCATGGTCAGCGAGAGTCATAACCGCTGTGCCACCTAACGAGTCCTTAATAGGACGAAATGCGAAGCCCAAATCCCATCGTTAGCCATCAATTTTTGGCGGCCCACTTAAATCTCCTTAAATTCACCCATAAAACTGCAGCGTCATATTTACTGCATTTCATTTTGTTTTCATCATCTAAAGAAATTTATGAATCGTAACATTTTCAAGAAGTTTTCAACCCACTGCTATGCATTTTTTGAAGCTAATGGAAGAAAAACTACAAAGAGTAGTTCAGCATGCTTTGGATGGAACAATTTTGCTTCAAGTAATGCATTATCAATTATTATACTACTTGGTGACCTTGTGCAAGAAGTAAGTACCTTGCAATAAAACAAGCTGTACTATGTTTAAAGTGAGTTTTTCAGAAGAAAGCGGTTATTATTATCAGACGAATCAGCAGATATACTTCTATTACTTACCATCAGTACAAAAGATAATAAAAATATTCTTTCTAATTATCTTCAACTAATAAACTCTTTTTTCACGATATTATAAATGCATTTATACAAATGAACACAGAAAATAATCTAAATTACCAATTTTTTCAAAATATTCATACTTTTACGAGTTGATCATGGATTTATATCAGTTAAAGAAGCATTGAAAACCAGGGAGTACTGGACGGCTGTTTCATCCTAGTTTGGAAATCATCAGCTTCGAACGCAGTACCTTCCGGTTACAAGGCCAGCTCGTATACCATTCAGCCACTGGGACCCGATTCAATGGCTCATAGATTCTAACTTTTACCAATTCGAGCTTGCTTTGTAACCGGAAGGTCCTGGGTTCGAACCCTGGCGGTGGGTGCGTACTGCCAATGGTTCCCAAACTAGGATGAAACAGCTGTTCAGTACTTTTATCTGGTTTTTAATGGTTCTCTAACTGATATCAATCCGTGATCAACTCGTAAAAACATAACTAACCCTTATAAACCAAACTGTAGGAAATACTTATATCTTTTTGAATATAAAAAAAATACACTGAACCGTTACTATACGTCTGTGTACGCAATGCAGCTCAAGGGAGATTGCAAACCAGCTGAGAAAAGATAATTTTAGTAGTGTATAATTAAACACTACACTACCGGTGATTCAGGCGTAGAATGCTCACCAACTATGCACATAGTCCGGGGTGGAATCCCCGGCCGACGCACTCCTGAACCTTGCTCAACCGGTAGTAAGTCGGTTAAAGGTGGAACGTAAGACTATCAAATCCATCCGGCTAAACAAAGAAAAACATCAATGCTACTAAAACATAACAGATCAAGCTTGCAGCTTTATTTTTCACACGGAAAGAAAATGAAAAAGGAAGTGAAATAAATAAATACTACTGAAATAATTACACTAGAAAAAGCTTTGGTTATAATTATCATCAGAATACCTCAATATATTATCTCTTAAAATGCAAAATACTCACCAGAAACTGAATGAAAGCGGAAATTTATTCACGACTGGGAAACTTCTACTGGGATTTCCGTTCACAGTTAAAAATCTTTTGATTAAAATTAAATATGTATTCAAGTATGTTTTGTGTTAATTATGTTCACGTCTTCCTTCCTAATTTGTTTCGAATAAAAACCTGATGTGCGATATAAAATAGATTATTTGTCTTTACACCATTCCATAGATTTCACCGTATTCTATAAAAATACACAATTCAAGAATAACTGTATCAGGCTGTGGTGTAATTTTGTTTTCCACTGAGACTTTTTTTTATTTCAGACCTGCCCAACCGTCAAAACACAAGATTTGACCATTCATCATTTGAATTCCTGATTGGTTCATTTAGGCATCTTTCCCCAGTTTAGGCACATAAATGTATGCACAATTTTGTGTTCACAACACAAGCTTAGTTTGTGTGCTTAGATGTCCAGTCATACAGCATTAGGTCACTAGGCCAATTTTCCACATTTTCTTTCTTAGCTATAAAAGCTTTCCACGAAAATCGATAGGCACCATCGATTTTGTCTGTAGTAGGTTTTTTTATTATTAGTGACTAACTGTGTCAGGGAACAATGTTACTGTGTCGTATAAGTTTGTCTGAAGCTACTAGTTATTTTCTTTTCATTATGACTAATGAAAAAAACTGTCATCAGAAAAAGTACAGCCATAGTATTTAGCACATTAAAATATGCAGACATTTTGAAGTGAACAGCATGGGCATACATAAATTAGAGTATATTTTAGACAAAATATAAATATCTACTTTCATCTAGGATTTTAAATTTTAAATATTCTGACAACTTTTAGTACTTATCCCTGGTTAATAGGCATTAAGATTGTATAAATAGCACATAGGAAGGGTAAAAAAACGGATCGTCCTAGACCTTTTAGAATACGCTTTCATGTGTACGTATTTTTATGCATCAGTCCCGTTCTACCGATAAAGGAGTCACTAAATCAAACAGCAAATCTTAACCGTACAGTTTATTTACCTGTAGATATTAAGACGTCACTCTTATGGGATGAGACGCATATGAAGATATCAAAGCCAGGATCCGAAAAAGAAGACAGACCTACACCAATGTAAAATAAATACGGAAATCTGCTGCATTCAGCACACAGAACAAGATTTGGATTTTCAGCATTGACATCAACTCAGTGATTCTATACACTTTAGAGACTTGGCACTTTACGAAAAACATTTCCAACAGGTTTCTGTCGAATTTCATCGACAGCTGCCTTCATTCATTATTAAAGATCAGATGGCCGAACAGGAAGCATAAACAACAAGGAACTCTATTATACAATGAACCGTCTGAGAAACAATCACTCATCAAATATGCAGAAGGAAGTGGGGATGAGTTGGACGTATGCTGAGAAGGCCATTGGGTGACGTTAACCGCCAGTTAGGCCCTTGAGTAGAATCTGAATAGGGAAAGATTAGTTAGAGTTGGGCCTAAGGTTGAAATGGAGCTGACCGTGTTAGGAGGAAGTGAAAGCTTGCTGCAAATCGTATATCCTGCTGGAAAAATCTACAGAGAAGGGGATGAAACACAAATGTACTGCTGGATCCCTGTACTTCATTCGAAATCCAATTAATATCCAATTATTATTATCAATAAGCACCCAAAGTTTGTTGATTACAAATAAAGATTGTTACTTAGTTTCAAGAGAACATGAAGCTCAGCCAGGATATCATTTTGGTAATTTCATTCTCAAAAGTTGTACAATCGCATTTATATACATAACTTTACGTAGATACATCTATTATTCAGTTCAACATAACAAGAGGGAATATTAACGGTGATAATAATTTCCAATTCTATACGAAAGTTTGAAAGTGTGATAACAGATAAGTGGGGCTTAGAGACAAAGCTACACAGGATTAAAAAGTAGTTGCTTTTTATGTAAATCAGAAGCGCTATAAATGAACACCCCATCACTACCTGACACAACATATCGACTGTCCCATCATTCAGAGTCATTTACAAAGTAAACAGAAATCTGCTAAATACGGTGTGTTTCCAAAGCCTCACCATATGCATAGAAAAACCGGAGCTGTGTGTTCAAAATAAAGTAGTCCAACCTCTACATTCACCATGGATCTAGTTCGGTTTGACTCCCAAGTTTTCGTTTTCCAGTTATTTCATTCCCATCATTTTTTCCATCTTCCCGTGTAGAGAACTTTTATTTCTATTTGTTTCCACGATTATGGCGTTCACACCTATCTTCACTGAAAAAGATTTTTTAATTGTTACGTAACTATCACCTAATCCTGTGTAGTTTTGTTTCTAAGCTCCCACTAATCCATATTCACACTTTCAAACTTTCGTATCAAGTTGAAAATTGTCATGATCGTTAACCTCCCTCCTTTGTTTTGTTGAATTAAATAACAGATTTATCTACGTAAAGTTATGTATATAAATGCGATTGTACAGCTTTTAAAGATGAAATTACCAAGAAGATACTCTGGTTGAGCTTCCTGCTCTTTTCTCTGTAATGTCCTGACAGGTATTTTTTACTATTTGACTCTTAGTTCTTGAATGTCTACCGGCAAGTTGTATTCGCACTCAAGGTGTAACATAATTCACCTCGGAATTGCTGTGCGAGGTCACTGGTATTAATAAATGAGTGTAAGTCCTGTGAATGACTACCGGCATAACTGGCTTATATGTGTTAATGCATCTCGACTTTCTATTCGAAATGAATTTGTAAGCAAACTGTAGACGTGAAAATGAAAGCAAAATCAGGGGCAAACAATCCCTATATAAGTCGGAAAATTATTTCAGGGTAACATAAACAAACACCTCAGGAGACGGAAAGAAGGACAGCTTACTAATCCTACTATGACAGAGTAATCTTTTTCAATATTTGATTTGCAAGGATTAGATTCATTTTTATGAGTTGATCGCAGATTGATATCAGTTAGAGAACTATTGAATTCTAAATTCTAACTTCTAAGTTCATAGGCCATTTAATCGGGTCTCAGTGGCTGAATGGCATACGAGCTTGCCCTGTAACCGGAAGGCCCTGGGTTCGAACCCTGGTGTGTGGGTGTGCACTGTGGATGGTTCCCAAACTAGGATGAAACAGCTATCCAGTACTCCTACCTGGTTTTCACTGGTTCTCTAACTGATATCAATCCGTGGTCAAACTCGTATAAATAAATCTAATCCTTACAAACCAATTCTTCAAATATTTTACCTGTATCATCCTTTTTGTGACTACCCGATTTAGATAACTGATTAGGATGCTTAATTCTTCACATCACAATTCACTCTCTTAGTGCTGTCACTGAATTTGGGACATAATCTCACAATTTATAAGGAATATTATGTATTCGGGAATTATATTAGATCCCGACTGATGTAGACTAAAGTATCACATGGTTGTTAGTAGGGTTAAAAAGAAATGTTTGATGGCGAGGTCAAAATCCCCCAACTAGTGAAACAGGACCACCGCTAATGAAACTTCAAAGAGGTCTGAAGCCCTGTGTTTCACTTGGAACTCGAAGGAAATGAAAAAACCCCTTCTTGTAAAATTTCGTACTCAACACAGTTTATGATAAGTCGCAAAATGCACCGACATCATTTTCCAAGTCTTTGTTTCTTCTCCCTGACTTCGGTTATGAGAACGACTAAGTGAATGCACAGAAGCACAGTTTGAAGAGTATATTACTAGTTTTGTTCCAAAAGCTTCATACTAAGTGTTTTCCAGATATTCCTTATCGCCTTAGTTTCCTTTTAGGAGCAGTGGTTTCAACCTGACGTTTGTTGTATATTCGCATCATGAACAGTATCTTGTGAAACAAGCAAAGAAAATCCCTTTCCGCGTACCAAAATGCTGAAATGATGTCGACCTAAAATCAGATATAATATCAAACCTTAATTGTTTGTTCACTCGGAAGTAACCAATGGAGCTTCTCTAGTCCTTAGTATTGGAAGAATTGCCACCTGGCTTCTGGTGGGAAGTCGTGACCATTGGGGTACAGCAGGTCGAGTATGAGGGCAAATACTCGCTGATGACATTCGCTAGTGTTCGCGCCATATCGTGAATTGGCAGAAGTTAGAATTCATGGGCCACTGGCTCAATGGTCTACGAGCTCTCCCTGTAACAAGAAGGCCCTGAGTTCGAGCTCCAGCGGGTGAGTACTGATGAAGAATCCCGAACTAGGACGAAATAGATATCCAGTACTCCGAGGTTTTCCAATGGTCACTTAACGGATGTCAGTTCCTGAATAAATCCTGAAATCTATTAGTTACATTTGCAATGTCATCACCAAACTAGGTGATTCGCCATCACGATTTACTTTAAACTGCTGGTAGATATTTGGAAGCAGCTACCACGAAGACGTGGTCATAGGGCATCGTGTTTATCGTCCATAGACGCCTCTATGTACCATGCTGAAACAGTTGGAGAATTTTCAAGTCATTAAGACGATTCAACATTCTGGACAGAATCAAATGAAATACAGATTTGAGAATACGACCATTAAGTATTTTAGGTCACCACCACGTGAAGACAGTGAATAAATGACACTTTATAGCACTTTGCATTAACTTCATTATTAAGAAATATATTTCATGTCTCTGATTTTCAGTGTCTTATAATTAATAAATAAGTATTTGGCTTAAGCCTTTCTGCTTTCTTATTATTTGTAACAATAAACGTAATCAGCTTGTCGATTCATTCCACATAATTCATTTATTTAACTGCTATTCATCTGGCATCCTCGTATCTCTCCAACAAAACGTTTTCTACCAGGGAAAATTATCTTTGCCCACGAAGTCGTCATCAAAGGTTACACAACTGCATCTTTGTCTACCAAAAAGTACAGCAGTCTATAACTGAGTAATGCATAATTGATAAATTTACTCAAGAGTGGTTTCTAAAGACCGAAAGAAATTGTGTATTAATTACTGGTATGCTGGAAGTATGGCTTTGAAATTCTATTCGGTGAAAATTGTTGTTAGATGAGAAGTTAGGTGGTTGAGTGTCCACTTGGCAAGTAAGAAGAAGCTGAGAGAGAAACGAAAGTGACATGTAAGGGCTGTAGTAGCTGATTAATTACTAAAAGTAGACGTAAACGAGTAGAAAGGAATTCAAAGCCGTGACAAAACAAAAGAACGCACAAAACGTTTCTGCGCAGACAGAGTTCAGGGTTATGTGGATGGATCACTAGCGCCTGTAGCAAAAACGAGTACTGAGACCTAATAACCTTTGTACCATTCACCCTTAATTTAGAGATAGTTTTAAAAGAGAGCTGTATTAACCGATTTCATCAGGTGCTTGGGAACTGAGCTAGTGAATAACTTACACCGTCCTGCTTGAAACCATGCTGGAGAATATTCTGGGATGTTTTTGGAAAATATTCTCATTAAGTGGCAAATATAATTAACTTTACAGGAGAAAGTGAAGCTACAAACCACTCATAAACCATTTTCTCTCTATGACTACATTTCGTTTTTCTCGGTTAAAGTTAAGATTAATTTGGACAATAAGGCAGCTCTAGTACAAGTTCTATAAACTAATAAGGATTCATATTATTCTGTCTGATTTTCCTAATTTTCTTCACTTTGTTTACACTGCCTTGATAATTTACTTTAAAACCTAAAGTACACCAATGTCTGTTTCAATTTTTAGACAAGCGCTTACGCTGAGGCAACTAGTAGTACATCATGTGTGATATTCATACAATTTTGGGACTAGTATTTTTATAATATCAAAAAGATTTACGTAAAAAAAAGTATTATTCAGCTCCCATGATTCTCCTTATGTTGTATTCAGTTCATAATTGGATTAGTGTGAAACACTTAAACAAAAATAACAATATATTAATAGTTTTATTCTACATAATATGCTTATGCACCGCACACAATTCTCTGCATATTCTATTGCAAAATATTTACTCCTTGTACAAGATGGTGTATCATGTGACGCGATACTGTCTGCTTTGAAGCGCGCACGTAATTTTTACTACGCTTTCTTCAAGAAATGACTAGTAATATGTTGAAAGCTGCTTTAAAAAACGTGCATAAGTACAAGTTGCAACTGAAGGCTGTAATTGGATTATTAATAAAATGTAAAATAGAGTGACTTTGATGTATTATTTTGGATAAATAGTTCGAAAGCCCAGTGACTTAGAGAAGCCTCCAAAGTGTTTATTGCCTACAGACTGAATTTGTTCGGCCTGTAGGCGCATTTCTGTGTTTCAAAACCGAAGAAGAAATGGGTCAAACGGCATTGTTCACTAGAATTGTGTTTATGTGCCTTCACGCACTCATTAAACTGCCAGTCTGTGTCATTATCTTGACGAATCATTAAATGTTTTTATTAAACAATATTTACCTTAAACTCAAAACTGGATAAATACCTCTGTATTTGAAGCATGTACACTAATAACTACACTTTCGTTGTTACTTTAAGGAAGAACTTTACAAACTGGAAATAGAAGTTCTGTTTTTAAATCTCCTCCTACCGGAGATTATTTGCAACTATGCTTGTTGACTGCTTTTATAATACTCAATAAAACATCTTCATACTCAAAGCAAACAAGAGCATTTTCTAACCCATGATAATAAATACATTCACACAGTTTAAGTATGTTTTTGGGAAGTGAAGAAAAAACGTCATCAGCGATGGATTGATAACAGAAGCTATGTTTATCGAATAAACTGCAAATACATGTAGTAGGAATGATTCATCACCTGTTCCCGATATCTGGAAAATTCTGCTACCCCTACGACAAATAGGAGAAAACAAAGAAAACTATAAAACTCAAGTTTCAAAGTCGTGTGATTATAATTGATATGATTATGAACAATACATTTTATTCGAAACGTCATCCAGTAAATAATACTGTTTCACTGTGTGGTACACATCTAATAAACAAACTAATATGGAATTAATTACTACCACAGTGCCCAAGTTTTACACATATATTATCAGTGATAGGCCTGTGAATGTTATGACAACGGTGTAAGGATGTCCAAGAAGTGTATCGATTCAGAGGTCGAAATGTAGCAAATTACAAAACAGAAGTTACGTAATCCAAACAGGAATTGGGACGAAAAAACAGACAGAAAGTTCAGATAATAAGCTTTGGGGAGCATTAATGATTTTCTCAAGAAGGTAGTCCGGTTGTGATCATCATGGCGAAGATATAGGTTAGAAATGCCTTTCTTATACATAGAGTTGTTCTGAACATTTTGGATCTATGACGCTCCAGTTATGCACGAATGTCTTGACTTCAATCACCCTGAAGATCTTGAGTGGATCTTGAATTTCGGAAATTTACCCATTGGAAAAGGTAGCAAAACTTTAGAAGATTTGATCTGGATTATTGATGTAATTTACACCACATCAATTAGTGTGGTTCCATATGGAGTCAACTATGAAGATGTTATCTAGGAATGTGGTGAGAGCTGTCTGCTAGCAAAAATTGGTAGACAGAAATTTACGTCAATGTTTATGTCCCAAATCTTGATCATGAGCAAAAAAAAAGGAAAAAAGACTAACTCAACAACCAATAACTACAGACTTTGCGTGGGCGGATACGATCCGCAGATATATGGTCTGACGTTCAAAGAAACGGCCACAAAAGGATGACAGAATAACTTTCAGCGAGATAACGAACAGTCAGAAGATGCTGTTTCTGTGCTAATAATAACGAATAATAATGCACATAAAAATCTATAATTGTCTGTTGATTTTCTCAATAAACGATCTGTCGCCTGCCCCTTGTCTTCTGTTGTTACGGGAAGACTATGAAACACTGGCAATTGAATCAACCAGCTTAGAGAACTCAGCTACCCTGAATATCATCCATCTGAGTTACAAATCTTCTCCATGAGACTGTATCTGTGTACTAGTCACTTACTTTCAGTGGCTAAATACAGCATAATGACTATCAGACTAGACTTTTTGGAATGTTTACGGTAAAAGTCATATTCACTTTTATTCATTAATACTTGTTTTTCATTTCTTCGTCGGTAATATCTAGACATACTTGTTTTTAAAATGGATATCGTATTATTTTGTTTAAATGCATATATATATACGTTTTTGACAGGTTTGACTGGTTTTCTTTCAAATATGGAACCGAATGTAGACTATTCGCTAATTTAATTGGTTATTAACAACAAATATAGTTTGAGCGAAAGTGTAAAGGTGGATTTGTTTACTTGTCAAAAAGAAAAAGTCAGAATTACCCGAGCAATATTCATCAGTGATATGTAGACCAAAAAGGAATTGGAAAAACTTTATGATTTACAATCCAGCGAGTAATCAGTTTAAACTTTATTCATTTATTTTTAAGCTACACCAGACGATATATTACTATTTGAAAAGAAGTAGTAAACTAGACATGCATTGCTTGTCCAACGATAGTATGCTCGCAAAATTAAACACGTAATCGAGATTTCATTGATATAAGAATAAAACTTGTGCACTGTGATAAAGTATAATTCCATTATGGGTAAAATTTGTTTTGATAAAGTCTCACAGTGTTATACAGTAATGTTTACTGATGATGTTTCGAGCACAATTTATTGCTCATAATCATAGTCTAGATTTCGATTCCTGCCTGTATTTTTAAAAATTTTATTCCTTTTCATTCCCATTGAAATGCAGGGCTTCAAGCTGGAGCTTTGGAGCTCCAGCGGCAGTGTCGACTTTTAAGGGATGGAGTTGCTAGTCTCATGTCCCACCATCCCTGTTTACTGGGATTGCTACCAGCTAGGCGAGGTAAAGGAGTGAGCCTGCCGGGGATCGAAACCCAGACCACTTGCGGAGTTTGCCAGTGTTCCACCTCTTAACCACCAAAACACTGATTCCTGGCTGACACATTCCTAATCCTCGCCTAGTTTAGTAACTGATAGTAACCCTGGAAAAGAGAGAAGGTTGCGTGTCTAGACAGCAAGTCTACCTCTTGAAGACAACATCACTACTATTGACACTTCAAAGCTTGAAATACTATGCTTCACTTGGAATACAAGAAAAGAAGAAAAGGCAGACGTGACCTGGTGTCAAGAAGAAAACCAGCAAATGTACTGTGGCATATATGAATCAATATCTAAGGCCTGGTACTATGCAATATGTTTCCACAACGCTTAATAAAAAAATAAAAGATAATAAATAATTTTTCAACTGTTTTATAAATAAGAGGGATAAATTCCTAGACCAACATCAACTACACAGCTGAATATAATAGCAACAAAATCTTTATTCTGATTAGTGCTTATATAGTGTACAGATTTCTCGGCGGAGATTATTGCATGGTATTTATTTCTTTGTCCCTCTTGATATAAGAATAAAACTTGTGCACTGTGGTAGAGTGTAATTCCATTATGGGTAAATTTTGTTTTGATAAAGTCTCACAGTGTTATACAGTAATATTTACTGATGACGTTTCGAGCACAATTTATTGCTCATAATCGCACCTTTGACCCAACTAACTGACAGTATTGTTGACAAACAGTTTAGTCCTTCCAAGCAACTGGCTAAAGTTATCTTTTCTGATACCCAGCATCCTGTTTATTCACAACTTTTTCCTTCAATCTCTTAGGGTAAAACCAGAAGAAGCTTCATAAGAATTAATGCTAGCATGACTAAGCATAAATATTCAACTATTTTGATGTAGTTGTGTTTTCTGAGCTGGATGGTTTATTTGCGAAGCTTTCATCGTCCTACTAGGCAACATCTTCAGCGCATAGTTCAATTTGCTGAAGTGAGCTTTTAGATTTATTCACGAGTTTATTAGTCATCTCTCCTGGTGACTTGAGCGTCTTTGGTTGTTTTTGCGTGTTTTCGCACCCTCTAGGCTACATGTATAGGTATTGGTGCTGAATGCTTCCTTGACCTGAACTTTGACCGTTTGTGTGTGAGTTTTCCTTCTTATCGACTGGTAAATTTTGTCTATCACAATGTGTCTATTGATTGACGATTCACTGGAGTACCAGGCTTCTAATAATTTTCTAGCATTCTTCGTATTTCCTCTGTCTAATATTTGAATGTTGTTCTAGTTTAACTGATGTCCATGATTGGCTTTATCTTTTTCCGCTGTTGAGTCTTTTGGTTGACACAGAGCTGAGTGAACTGATTTTGTTGATTTGTGTGCGACAATGATTCCTAAAGGTTTGAAGAGTCTTGCAGTGATTTCTGTGATGTCCTTTATATATGGTAGGGCAATTTTCTTCGTGCCCTCCTTGGGGGCCCTCGATTTGGTATGTTGACTTAGGGGTAGATATCTTTTCATGAAGTTCCATAGATATCCATTCTTTTGAAAGACATCCATGAGATATTTTTCTTCAACTTTTTAAGGTGATAGTGCTGCTATGAGTCCCGGCTCTCTTGAATAGTGTTTGCATACCACTCCTTTTGTCTGTTATTGGGTTGTTACTGTTGTAACTGACTATTTGGTCTATTCATTGCCATAATAGGGCAATGAAAGCTTCACAAATAAGCCATCCAGCTCATAGAACACAACTACACACTCAGCTAAATCAAAACCATCCACCTGAGCTACAAATCTCCATTATATTTGAATACTCAACCATGCTATATTAAGCTCGGTAGTTGTGTGAAGAGACGAGTGTTGGAAAAGAGTTTATAAATCTACATTATAATCGGTAAATATCTAACAATTTACTACTGTGGTGACAACTGGCTGCTAGCCAAATTGGTAGACAGTAATTTACGTCAATGTTTACGTCCCCAATATTGGTCGTGAGAAAAATACGAACAAAGACTGACTCAATAACCAACCACAGCAGACTTTGCGTAGGCGGATTTTGTTAGCATATAGATGATCTGACATTCAAGAAACAGCCACAAAGAGGTGAAAGGTTAACTTTCAGTGAGAAACCACCAATCAGAAGACTGTGTTTATTTGCTTACAATAATCTATAATAATGTACATGAAAATCTATAAGTATCTGTTGATTTCCTAAATAAACGATCTGTTGCCTGGCCCTTGTCTTCTGTTGTTACACTACAAGCATTATAATGACACATTATTCTACTGTTGACTTCAGTTCTTGAGGTTTGATCAGTTTTACTACTTCTGTCATTTATTTGTAAACGGAGATAAACTGTTACAGTATATACAAAGTCAAAAAATCCATTCTCTAATGGAATTTTCTGCTTGAAAAAGGTGATTATTATTGGATCTAAACTACTAGTCAAATTTAGGAACACTTATTATAACCAAAACTGATCACAGATACGACTGTACGGTTAAAGCAAAATGGGATTACAGTAAACTATTACCTGTACTATTTGATACAGTCTTCATTAAACTGGGAGTAGTCATATATATATATATATAACTGATTGCTTTGTAGTCGTGTATTAACCAAAAAAGAAAGAAGATACCAATTTTATTGAATGAGGAAATCACAGTACTTGAACTGGAGGGTTTCATATTTCAAGAAGTATATTCATTTTTAAAATGTATCCAGAAATCCTTAAATTTGGATGCATTTTCTTCAAATAGTTGGAATTGTTGTGGAATTTTGACGCGCATATTCAAGTTGCTTCACAATCTGTTGACATTATTTCTCTGAGATGTATGAAAGTGGAAGGATTTTCGCTGAAGATTCCTTCTTTTTATTGTTGTTCGATTTATTTTGATATCTCTTCTATGTTTATTTTACTACGAAATACAAATTACAAAAACAAACCGAATTTTGATTACTCTTTGTTAAATCAAAGGAGAATTATTAACAAGATTTAGTTCTTCATTCAGGTAGAAAATGATGAAAATGTGGTTGGTTTCCCCAATAACTACTCTTTGTTCTAATATCCTAATCAATATTGCTCTTGAAATTAAAAAAACTAACTGCTGATCCCGAACTCACTCAGGACAAAAAGTTTTTCTAAGAATTTGATTGTTTCAAATGTACTGTATTTAAATTCCAGCGAAAAATATATCAACGAACACATGAGGCCAGAGAGGGACTACTAATCTTCCCAATCCTAGCAGACATCTTCATGAATAGAGGGATAAATAAGGCTCTTGGAAGAAAGTTAGTCATACCCCAAAGGTATGATGGAGATATCTGGATGATACAGAATATATTTCTGGTTCCTTTCAACATGTAACCTCAATAGTAGAAGGGGTCAAGAAAAAGAATTGACAATCTCAGATGATAAAATAAAACGAGTAGAAAAGGGAGAATTCTACACTCACTGCGGAACATATTTAGGTTTTAAATAATCTCATCCATTATCTGTGAAAGCAGGCTTATTTAAATGCCTAGTCAACTGGTCCATAATTTGGAGTACCATATCAGAAGGTACATACTACTGAATGACTGAGATGAGTAGCTGCATATCGTTTACATCAACCAGTAGTGTTTGCTAGCCAAAAAGAAGTGGTTCAAACACTAGACAGCCGTTTTGCTCATTCTCGGCGGGGCTTGTCAGTGGTCAACCATGTTTGAGTCAGTTCAGAGACCTGAAGCAGTTCAAACCACCCAATTTCCAGTTGGCTGGCTAGCAGACACTACTAGTTGATGTGGGTGAAATACAACTACTTAAATGTGTCAATCAGTAGTAACATAAAGCAATCAATTTATACTTGCTCTCTTGGTTACCATTTATGTTACCAAATCAGATCACATGCTGCGGTCTGAATAATTTCGCTTTCTAAAGGAAACTGTGGGGGTGGTGGTGGAGTTTCACCTTGAACTGTGTAAATTGCAGATAAATTTACGAATTAGATTTATGAAGTATATCGAAAATAAAAATGAAATAAGGAAACGAAAAAAAGGTAGAAAAAGTGCTAGAAAACTTTAAAAATTAGGTAAATACAATCAAGTGTGATGAAGCCACATCCAGGAGACTTTCTTAAATGATGACCGATTGATAAACGGTGTAATGCTTTCCTTCACTTTTACCTTATTCATACCTTAAATAAATTTGAATAAAGAAAAAAATAAGAGGATTTCAACATTATAATATGATGTTAGTACTTTTTTTGTTTACTTCGTTGGTTTCCTCTCAA